TCATTGATAGTCACATCAACTCTTGTTTTAAATTTGCTCACAAGATTCTGGACGACCCTCCTCATCCATTACACCCTGATCTATCGCCTTGTCGTTCCCATCCGTCCACACGCTCCTTATTTCGACAGCTACTCTCTCGCACTAACATTTGTAAAAATTCCCCTGTACCCTACTTGGCCCGACTACTCACCAAAAAGGAACAGGTCTCAAATGAACTACGTCAAATGCTTTGTACATGATACGTATATCACCGACCTTGTTTACCTTTTGTTTTTATTGTTTTTATTTCATTCTGCGCGACGAACAATGTACATTTTTAACTGAAATGTAAGCATATATGCTTACAAAAGTTACAAATACAATACAATACAATCATCATTTGTAACACTCTTTATTTTCGTAAGTTATAAGGAAAGATAAGTCATGCTTCGTGACTACATGTGTTTATCAGAAAAACTCTACGAAGGTCAATATCTAGTTTTATCTTCTGTGAAGCGGTCTCAAATATAAGGAAACCAACACGTTTCGGGAGCACTGGTTCAGAAAAAGACATTGAATAAAGAAACCCGTTGGAAACAAATAGCCGAATATCTGTCAGCAAGCGAGATGACCACTTCTCTAACGTTATTTCATAGCAAAAAAGCGTTGGTGATCAGGGGACAAAGCTAGGTTCAAATTCACAACAAAATAGTACAACAAAGAATTAATCCAATGCAACCTACTTTAAGACTGGTTCGTTTGTAAGCCGTAACGAATGAGTCCCCGGCTGCCATCAGAGTGCGGATTGCAGTAGGAGCAGTGTAGAATTTGGTCACTTGATACCGATCGATAATGGCCCAACAACGTCCCATATCTGGCCACGTGGGAATCCCCTCAAAAATCACACTTGTTGCACCGTTCACCATCGGTCCATAGACCACATACGAATGTCCTAGGGTATATTATGGATACAATTGAGCCGATGATGGAAGCATTGCTGAGACAAAGCAACAAGCAACTCATGAATGAAAGGACTACATCATCAAAATGATCATGTTGAGTACCAAACATGTCAAGTCCAGCTGCTGAACAAACCTAGGTTTCAGTGGGTCAAAATAGCTGACAAGTAATAACCGTTACAATCAATCAGGCTCACGCAGATTGAATTGCATTCCTTTGCCTCCTGAAACAGTTAAAAGTTACATTCCGTACAATCGCGATGAATGAACTCCGTTGATAATTCACCTCCAGAAGTGTGTGCGTGTGCATGTGTGTATAGTTCGTGCACCTTATTTTGGTGGGTTTTGAATCAGAGGTTTTAGCTGACTTCCCTAGGTGNCTAGGTGAACTGCCAGCGGTTGACCGACCAGGATTTCGGCTTTTCCTCCTCTCACTTTGACGGGAAAACATCTCTGCCATGAGGAGGCAGTGAGCAGGGCTTCCTTAGCAGATGCTGTTTGAGACGCTTGGTCGTGTGGGGGCATCTCGCGAGATGGAAGGGAAGAGGGACCAACCGTGACCCACTCTTTCGGGGGCTTTTTGAGCCTTACGGAGAAAAGATACTGATGTGCAGTTTGTTATCACGATAACCACGATGCGTGGAACACAAAGAGTAAAAATGAACGTATGAAGATTACCGGCACAACATAGAAGAGGTGTTTCTGATTTGAATCCCAATGAGACCTTTCCTAGAACTTCATTATTACCTTGAACTCAGTTATCAACCCCGACCTTTCATTTTTGTTTTACATAGGACAACTCTTGCAACGCCGGGAGAGAGTAACTCTGACTGATCGGTGCACATCTGCTCGAATGCGAATACAGATCAATCTCTCACTACTATGGTCGCAACCACGATTTCACATTGCTTTCGGCTGGTGAAGCCACTAGCGTCCACTAATGAATGATGTGATACATTTTACTGTCTTTTTATTCGTTTATTATGGATACGTACACTGAAATTTCAGGAGGAGGGTGAGACCAATCAAAATCTGCCTGGGGAAGATACAGAGACGATGAGGAAGGGTGGTGGTGGTGGTGGTGGTAGAATTAAAACCCATGGTCTAAAAGTTATGGATCAGTATGTACCAGACAGAAGTGCAACCTCGAAGTAGCCGATCACTGACGCAAAAAAGTCATATGCCAGATGGTGACGTAAGCATACGAATTTCAGTATGAAAAAGAGCTATGCACGTGGATGCTGTTGAGATGTTTCGTCATTTAAACACCCTCGTGTGATCGGGTCATTATAATCTGGTGCTAACCTTTCTAGCTATGAATCACGTTCCTTTTGTCATAAACAGTATATCCTCATTTATCAGCTCAACCCAATTCGTCTGAAAAGAAATCTCCTGCGATAATCCTTTCATTCTAAAGATTAGGTCATATGGGTATACGAACAATTTCGTAAAAACTGGACAACAAAATTCTTGTCCTGAATCACCGTGTTGCCTAGACCCGGCGTACCACTTGATGACCACCTCAGATGGGACAATTACATTGCTCCTCCAACATCAATAGTTCTTGTCTCATCGATGGGTGAATTTTGACAAGATTTCTAAGGGCAATGGTTTTAGGACAACGCAGTTAATCAGGTGAGGAGGGCGGTAACTCCAATTAACATCGGCAGTTGACATTTCCGTTCTAATATCGGTATTTGACAATACTGAGGAATGTGCATCTAATCACAGGATTTCCTCAATCATGTGAAAAGTGGACAGTGCAAACAAATTGCCATTACAAAACTGTTCATTTGATATCTTAATCACCCAATTCTCTCATTCCACCAGCAGTATGTATCTTGACATCATGCCTATCCCAGAAGGCAGTACAACAGTAGTACGTTTGGGGACTTGTAATGTTCTCAGCAGCTCACCGGAAGAAGAGGTGAAAGATTCACTATTAAAAGCTGAACCCCTAATCAAATTTACCATTTATCATGCCGCCAAGTGTGAGTCTGCAATGAATGTTATACTGTGTTCATCACAGTAGAGGACCAGAACTTCATTAGTTGAACGCCGGCCCCCACTCGATTGTGGTTTTCACTCACCGCCCCATTGTCTTACGAGTAAGGTTCTAGCTACCTGACGGTTCCATTTGTGAATCTGCCAAGGCAATTGATTCGATGTGACCTGGACAACCTAGAAGCATTCCATCCATGAACGAGTGACGGTGGGATCTCTTCATTACATAGACCGTTGTATGGTGATTTTTCCCACAGGCTGGACTCAAACACGAGTGAGATGATAACATCTCATTCTGCACAAGTGGCACCTGATTCACCTAATAATAGTTCCACGTAAAAAAGGCATTTTGTGAATCCCGTTCGTGTCTAGTAGGTGAACACTTCTCATACACATTCGAAAAATATCTAAAACACCTCACACGCGGCAATGCCTCCCGTGTCCAGCCCGTGGTTTGTTCCAACTGTATACAATCCACCAGTGATACGCGTGTGTAGAATCTTGCAGGACTTCAATAAGATGTGTGAGAATATTAAACCGAGTTGCGACAGAGCTTGATCAGAGAAAAACCGATGTAGCAACATTCATCATGGATGGAGTACACAAACCGTGGATTTCAAAATCAGATGAAAACAATAAATTACCATGCATTGGTAAGAGCCTCAAACATTCTAGCTTTGACGGTGGATGGGATCAATTTAACCCGTTACTTACCAGTAATCCAACCAGCATCGGCAGTACACCAATAAACATCGTCATCTTCATAATGGAACGTATGGTAGAATGTTGTAGCCGCATAGACCATGTAGCCACCGATCGTGTGCAAAATACCTTTCGGACGACCGGTGCTCCCACTCGTGTACAGGATAAACAATGGGTCCTCCGCGTTCATCCATTCAATCGGACATTCACAGTCGTCCGGGAATTGTGCCATCAAATCGTGCCACCAAATATCACGGCCCTCGGAGATTCGAACAGTAAGGCTGAACGGAAGAGACGAAGAAAGATTTAGGCCAGGGTTTCATATTAGGAACTAAGTACTGTCTAACCGTGAATGGTTCGACATGATGGTCAAGTAGACAACACGCTAAGCACTGAGGTAGACAAATGGTTTACCTCACATTAACACTGTGATAGAAATCCCATTAGTTATCTTCACCGACTGCATCAAATACTGCTGGTCCCCCTGATGCAGGAGTTGTCAAAAGATGGACTCGAAGATGCTTATTCGCTATCAAAGCAAATGCATTACTGTTCTTGGATTGGTTCTTCGATACCGATCATTGGCCTGCGATATTCATCCAGGTAGACACAGAGTCATGGGCAAACAAACCGTATGCCCTAGATTGAAATTGGATGAGCACAGAATAATTCCTTCATGTCCCATGCCTTCGTAACACCTTGTCGACTTATTATCTAGTCCTGTTTTCTCAGTCACGAAATGACCATACGGTTAGCCAAAAGATAACCAGAAAGGAAGTAGGAAAATGCAGACATCACGGTTGCTAAAAATGAGACAGATGTCGATAAATCAAGAGGTAAAAAAGATGAGAAACGGAAAAGTTTCTAACGTACGATTCTAAAGTATTCATTATCGACCGGACAGTTGCCTAGTTCGCCGAAATGACCAAAAATGGCATAGAGCGAGGAAATTATCTAGACCTGATGGCAAGCCACTGGGGCTTGACTCGACGCGTTTGAAAAAAATGGGCGATATATATGTCGAGCGTTCAAAGGTAAGGATCTTGTAATTTGAAGGGAAGGCTGAAAGGGGGAGAATTTCACAGTTGTGCTGTTCTTGGGGGAAAAGATGCTTGAAAATTAGGAATGCGATACCTCGGGATGGTCACCTGAAATGAGTGCATATCCGCCCATCTGCGGGGTGTACGAGAAAGAATAAGTGGGAGAGGAACAGAAGCGGCAAGTCCATTGAAGGAAAATGCGAAATAGTATCGATAGCATAAGGTTCACTAACCGATTGCTCGACGGTGAGCAAGTGATTGCAATTTAGATGTTTGGGACGGGTCAGTGATGAGACAAATGGTCTTGAACCCGATCAAGAAGAGACAGAGATGTGAACGAAGCAAACCCCCCACCCATACGTAACTGCAGTACTCAAGTGTACGGCGAATCTGAACTTCTTAGAGCGAAAGGAGGTGAAGAAACGTCTGGTGAGGTAGAGGAAACCGATTTTGCGCGCAGTGCGGGAGAATAGCAGATAAATATATGGCGATCATTAGAGTGAAGAAAATGAAAGTTTCAATAGGTTTCATGAATCTGTGGAATGGAGATTGTTAAAATTTAAAGAAAGGGAGAAAGATGCGTGCTTAAAAGGAACTGACATGAGGGAAGTTTTACTGGCATTAAAGACGGTATTAAAGACACGGTTGCCTTAGCCCCAAGCAGAAATTAGGCCCAGATCCGAATTTAGGGAGAAACTGAGAGAGGAGCCGTCATTGTCAACGCTGGAGTTGGTGATGCGTGAAGAGGAATAAGACGAAGAAGAGTGTAGGGTAGTACCATCGGCAAATGTGTGAATAGGACTTGAAGTTCAAAAAGGTCATCAATAAGCGTCAGAAAAGGGAAGGGGAAAGCACAGAACCTTGAGGAACACCAGCATTCGCAGGCACGGAACGAGACATGGTTCCATCTACTCGAACGGAGATGCTGCAGTCCTTCAGATTTCTAGCTGTCCAGGACAAGTTCCGAAAGAAAGCCAAACTTGGATAGTTAAGCCGGCAGACCTGCGTGTCAAATGATCACAAGCTTTCGATATATCCAATGACATCATGTGGGTTTCTCTGTGGTTGTCGAGTATCACTGACCATGTATGCGAAATGAGCACCAGAAGATCATCTTTAGATCGATTGGATCGGAAACCGTACTGACGGTCGCTAAGCATCTCTCCAGGTGGCGGCGGAGTTGATCAGCAATGACTGATTTCATAACCTTCGAAATAACTGATGTGTGAGAGATGGGGCGGTAGGCGATTGGGTCTGAGCGGGCGCCGCGTTTTGGGATGGGAAGTATTTCTGATGTTTTCCATGAAGTTGGGAATACCCCGGAACTGAGGGACAGAAAGAATAAGCGACGTAGAAGAGGGGTGCATATTTTGAGGACGGTGGGAAGAATCCCGTCGGATCCAGGTGGCTAATGTAGGTTCAGTGATAGAGAAGGCTGACGTATCTTTCTGGTGGGAATGAGTGATGTGAAAAGATGGTTTGCTGTAAGGTATGTAGAGGGTTGGATGAGTGACTAGAATAGGGTTGAACTGGAAGGAAAATGCGAGACAAACACTTCGACTTTTTTAAGTGGGTCGGACAATAAGTAGCCAGATGGTTTACTGATGGATGGAAAGTTAGAAGAACAGAAGTTAAGGGAAACTGCCTTAGCAGGTGACCAGGAAGTCCCGCTTCCCGAAGAGGCGGTAGCTGTGCTGCTTTGCGCTCAACAAAGTGCTCCTTAGACTTCCGTTTATTGATTGCACAGTTGTTGCATGCTTGCAAGCACTAGCGACGTGAACGGGGGGAAGGTGAGCGACGCCAGCGGCGGCGGTGATTTCTCTTTGCGAACAGTGGAACAACCATCCCGCAGGAGGCCAGTTGAGCTTAGCGAAACAAGGAATAAATAGGTGCATGGCTTGCAAAAGAAATTTGGACAATTTCGAAGCCGAGATGGAAACATCGGCGGTGAAGCGACACTCATTCCAGGGGTAGGAAATCAGAGAGTTACGAAACCTGCACCAAACAGCGCAGTCGTATCGCCAGAATGTGCTTTTAATATTTATCTCTTGACTTCCAGGTTTCGTAATGGTTCGCTAGAGACAGTGGAAGACATCGTAGCGAACCGAAAGCCGTGGCGTTCGTTTTCCGTTTCCTATGAGGAACANTTTGAAAAAGGTGTGTATCAAAACGATGAGCGATTCATGTTGTGATCCGGCAACAGAGAACAAACAAAATGGATAGAAAGACATGCCTTTTAGCTGGGCGAACGCCTGTTCGTTCCTTTGTGTCCATCAGTTCATCCGATGCGTTGGGACAATGAGGCGGAATCGTGACATGACGTAATAAGACACACTTAGACACAGTGTGACCCCGATCCTGACATAACTGCAGAGCAGCGGCCGCGTTCGAGTACAGATCCACTAATTTCGCACCACGCCAAGCACCGTCACATGTGATTAACACCTTGCAGCTAAAATGAACAGTGGAGAGATAAAAGGGAGTGTGAATGCTGGCAAACGCGAGCCACCGTTCAGATAGCCTCTCATAAAATATATTAAACATCATGGAAAATAACGTCGATATTATATGGGCATTCATTAGTGGGATAGGGATGAAGAACAATCTACCGAGAACACCAGAGCATAAATTAAACTACCACCCGCAGACAGATGGACAGAATTTATGCATTATTATCGAACACAGTTGCTCAATAAAACGTGACTCAAAATCTGTACCTAAATAGAGCGGTAGAAAAGAACCCCTATCGCAACGCCGGGATATTTGAGTACTGTTTTGAACGAATTGTTATTCTACTGACAGCGGACTACCTTATGGGACCTCCAGTGTTAAAGAACTGGAACTTTTCATCATCTCTGTACAGCGAGATACAAAAAATTAAATTCGCTGATCGCTGCCAAGTTCATATTGTATACAAAGTAAGCGAGGAAGAACAAGATGGATAAGGTTTGGACCTACTTGGAGGGAGGCAAAGAAAGTGAACCTCTATGATCAACACAGAGTACACAATCTAACTGTGCATACATACCTTTTCAAGTACTCTTAGTTAGAAGCCATATCCTTCAGCGTCTCCGAACAACCTGCTACAATTTCTTTTGGACCCCAAACTGGTAGACAGGAGACCCCTACTCTGCTGAATCGCTCTGTGCATTTCTTCACGCCTTGTTGCCAAGTGGTCGTCAAGTGGTTGTCCTTATCGGGGATACTCTGTCCAATTATATCGCAAATGGTTTCACTGAACGGTATGTAACGACCTCCGGCGTTGCGTATCAGGTGAAAAAACGTTTGACTATTCCCTGATGCAGAAACTACTTCCAATTCACTGGCTACTTTAGCTAACCAGTTTTCGCAATCTTTCATAGGGCTTTTCTTGAGCTGTAGCTGCTGACGGCGCCGGTTTCTATGTTGATCCTGGCAGATTGGGATCTTTCACTTGTGTTCTATCGGGATTGATGACTCCTTAGAGATCCAATGTCTTAGACGAACAACGGACGCACCCCATTGGCAAAGTTTGTTGCTAGAACACCACGTAGCCGTCCGACGAGAGGGCCATTACTCCATCTGACCTCTACCCTCTGACCTTCCAGGTATGATTAGATCTTTCACTCAACAAAAGTCATCCTGTGTAGCCCTTTGGGTCACAGATATGTACGGGCTATCACCAGTAACCACACACCAAGTGGGGTCAAAAAATTACGCGTAGCGCGACGAAACTTGAACTGAAAATCTGGGAAGCAGTGTACAGTTCATTTACTATTGTCGGGTATTGCCAAGAATGCAAAAACATTGACTCATACATTAGTTGGTTGCAGCAAGTGTTACGCATGTCACAAAGTAGGTTGCCACAGCGCACGATGTTTATCGAGACAGATGTTGAGTGGAAAAGTAAAAGGTCGTCGCACTAGGAACTGGCATGAAGCTATATAAACCCTGATCACGAAACATGTTCACATAAGCCGCTTTAGGCTTCCTGGACGGAGAACCCGGGATCAGCGTAGCCGAGGGTTGGAAACGGTGAGTGATGTGGCTGTGTCGTAAACAGTGACGATGGTGCATCCACTCTATTTCCTAGCAATCTCAGTCTAAGTGAATTGTTTATTTTCACCTTGACACTGTTTTCAAAATTTCAATCTTCCCTCTAGTCCTTTATCAAAATGTGCACCCAAAAGAAAGCAACCAAAAGCGCCGAATGAAGTGCATGAGTAATGATGGCGATGGAAAAAAACTGCAACTGACCCACCTGAGAGTCGAACTTTGAACTTCTCAAGCAGCACAGAAGCATGCTACCCACTTGAGCAACGGGCAACTGATCAACCGACGAACACTATTATATCCTAGTATCAATCGGAAGTATTAAGAGACACGACCGGATAAAAGCTACGAACTGCGCAGTTCAATTAAGTGGTAGGCTGCTCTGCTGTCGTCCGGTTCAATACCACGCCTAACCTATCGGGGGCCTTATATGGTTCGCCACTCCAAGTCCCGGGGCTTATGTCACCGTTTTCCACCACTGAACAGCAGGTCCTCGTGACTATGGGGTTCGCCCCTTCTGCTGTTCATCACATTAAGGCGTGTAATAAACAAATTAAAAAATTGGGCTTCGTATGAATTATTCCCTGAATAAAAACATTTAACTACCGAAAGACAAGCTGTATGAAATAACCTCCCTCAACAGTGATGGTCCACTACCGAACGATTTATCCGGCCTAGTCATACATTACACCCCAAGATAAACCACATGTAAAAAGTTGATGATTATTAGTATAAAAACTATAACGCGGTGACAGTTACTCACGCGACACGTCAATTAGGTTGAGGCAGATCTTTATCCCCAAGGATTCAATCAGAAACTCACTCTGCATCGATTATGCGATCAGCCAGGGCGGGAGAAGAAAATCCACCGAACACAACTGAGTGCACGGCACCAATGCGAGCACAAGCCAGCATAGAAATGATGAGCTGAGGAACCATCGGCATGTAGATAGCCACGCGATCGCCCTTCGAGACCCCAAGTGAGCGCAGAGCCAGACCAAGCTTTTGGACCTATATGGATGGAACCAGTAGCGGTGGTTTAGATACTTTTGGAAATAAACATAACACAGGTATGCATTTCAAAAACCTATGTATTAAAATGACACGAGAACAAAATTCTTTAAAGTGATTATCTTTAAAGGAGCCCTTCTGGAATCCAATCTTGCAGCAATATCACCATCACGACGAGACTGCAACTTGATGTGGTGTGATGGCTTGCGTACCTAAATGACCCTGAGAGATGCACAGGATGGCTTTTCACAGCCGGAGATCCAATCATGCCTAAAAAATAAGTGTCGAGGTTAGATGAAGCTCAGTACCACAAAGCCAGTTGTTTGGGCACCTCCTGGCTTCCTTCGACTATCCACATCCGACCCTGGAGAGGTCACTCTCGTAAATATACACGGTGAGGGGCAGTTTACCGGTCAAAAAACCCCGCTAGATGGACGTAAGAACGGGGTACATGGGGCTTCCTCTCGACAGTGGGAGAAGTCTTCGCACTTCATTGGACAGCTACCGCCGGTCCCAACTGGGCAGCCCCAGCCAATAAGGTGCTGTCCCGTCCACGTGCCGCTTGTCTCATTGGGTGTATGAGGCTAAAAGCCGATCCCGAAAAGTGGACCAACAATCAACGCACCAGCGTACAACACACTGAACCGAAACCCGAAGACTTTGCGTGACCGGTCTCTACAAGCTCCCACACGGGTGCTTCGGCCACGCTCCCGCGTTGGATTTACGCCCCACTGCCTTGTGGGTCAGACTTTTCAGTCAAAGGCTCCGGTTAGGGTTCCCATAGAAAAACCCCTTCGTCGGTGTGGGCTACCGTGAAGTATGCCGTGCCCTAAATTCTTAGGCACCCATTTGGAAAACGATCCTTCCCCTCTGACTAGTTCTTCTTCTCAACCTCGATTAATCCCAGATGCCTCCTGTTTACGAGACCCATCAGATATCACTCAGCGTTCAACTAATAAGGTCAACCACTCAGAGGCTACCAGATTTTTGAAACCAAAATTCCGTTTTCATTTAGCTGTACTCAATGTCCGCTCACCACCAGGTCGGTCAACAAGCTGTCTTAGCTAGAACCCTTGAAACCCTCAATTTAGATGTATTCTGTCTCCGAAACACACATACAACACCCTACTTCAGTTATCCCCTCCGTTCCAGTCTCATCCAGTCTCATTCTCACGCTTCACACTTCGTGTGTCGGGCGATTCGGCATCCGAAGCTCGCGGTGTTAAGGTGTTGGGATTGCGCCCAGTGCCAAGGCTGAGCGCTTGCTTCTTGATTGGATTCCATTCAGTAGCTGACTGTGCGCTATACATCTCAGCGGTTCAGCACGGGTCAACGGCTACAGAGCGAAGCGTCGATGTTTAGTCGTGGTATCGGTGTATGCATCGACTGATTGCAGTACGCCTGAAATGGAGGATGAGTTCTACAACGACCTTTTTCAATTACTCCAAAGTGTTTGATAAACAGACGTCGTAGTAGTCGCTGTGGACTTCAATGCTCAAGTGCGATCCCTGGATGAATCAGAAAGGCTTCTTGACGAACCACATGCAATCTCAACCAACCGGACGGACAACGGAGATCGTCTACTTCAACTTTCCGCCGACCGTGGACTGTTTGTGTCAAGCACGAACTTCTCGCACAAAAAACGACACCGCCTTACAAGGAGACCGCCAACCTCTTCACTGCGCTGGACCCAAATTGACCACATCGCCATCAGCCACAGTTGGCGTGGGTCCATTGAGGACTGTCGCTCTTACTGGTTCTCAGCTGTGGATACAGATCACGCCTTGTTACGAGCTGAATTCTTCTTACGCCTGACAAACAGCCGCAGAGAAGCCACCGAAAAAGGATGCCCACATTAAA